GAGTTGCTGGACTTCAGCTAAGTACTGTCAACATGTTGTTTTGAAGTTGTTTGAATTCATTCGGCCCCCGCATAAAATAACAAAAAAGCAGGTTTTCCCTTTTGCCTATTCTCACTTCTGTTCAAAACAAGGAGAAGAAAAGCGACTCGGAGACTCCACTACACGGCGGGTCTCTGTTCAGCGTGCCGCAGAAGTCGCTGTTCCCACATTTCAAACACTTCATGCCAAACTCTGCGTCATAATAAGCGGTTTTTAAAAGTCACTTCAGATTGGCAGTCCTTAAACCCAGTGCCTCTAATCTCCTGTAGCCCCATGCCCTGACGCCCATAGGGACGCCCCCTAGTGGACGGGACAGAAGTTGGAGGCGATCCCCCAGAGCACACGGGGGTCGGCCCACCCCACGGGCCTTCCACTGGCCACCGGAACTCATTCCTGACTCCGGGGTTCCGTGGGTCGCTCGGTGACTCCCACCGGGAAGGCCCCGCGCCCTGGCCCAGGGAGAATGACGCCGCTCCCCGGGCAGCCCGGGGCCGGCAGCCCACGAGGACATCAGCTCCCACACGGGGACCGCAGCCCCGCCTCGAGCCACCCTGAACACAGCCCCCTGAGCACCACCGGCTCAGGGCTCCGCCCCGCCCTGCCCTGGCACCTGCCGCTTTCTGACACGCGGCTGTGAACTAAAATGTCATTTCCTTAACTCTTGCTCTTAAGGAAAATCAGGAGGGCGGGTTGGATGACAAAAATAGGAAGTGTCCGGCTGAAAACGGGTGGGACTTGGCTGTGTCACCCAGCCGGCCCCTCTCCGGCAGGCACCGCCCGGCTGGGCCGGCCGGGCTCCGAGGGCTTCCTGCGCCCCCGCCCAGGTTTCCTGCAGGGGCCGGGCCGGGCCGGGCGGCGGAGCCGTCTGCCGAGGGAGGGCTCCCTTCCCGAGGGCTTCCTGGCAACACTCTCTAACAACCCAGTTTAAACACCTCGGGAGCTTTATGACACGCAACCGTGACAAAAGTCCCACTCGACCAGAAAGGGTCTCCTCTGAGCCTCCTCCCTTCCCTGTACCTCTCCTCCTTCTGGGCCGGCGCCGGGGAGCCATCCCGGCTGGCGCGGACCCATGCTTCCCGAGCGTCCGCTGCCGTGGGTTCCCAGCGGGGGCGTCCGGCTCTGCCAGGCTCGCGGGACGCGGCGGGCGTTTATATGGGAAAGCTGGGTTCCCGTTCCTCCGAGCGGAAACTGTGACCGCTGGAGCCCTGGCCTCTGCTGCGTGACAAACGCCCACTGAGCAGAGACTCCTTTAAGAGGCACTTCTTGGAAGAATGCTGGAACTTTCCTGGGGGGTGGGGTGGGGATGGAAATGCAGGAGGGGTTGGTCTGCTCGGCTGATGAGCCGTCAGGTCGGGAGGCGGCAGCGTTTCTTCCCCGTGGCGTCAGCTTCTCCCCGAGTCTCGGAGCGAGGCAGGTCTCTGTCGGGGGGGAAACCCTTTCTGCTCAGGAAGGAAGCCCTCGGAGCCCACGGGTGCGAACAAAAACCCAGGACCAGGGCGAAGGGAGGGAACAGGAGTCAGATCTCGTGGAAAGCTTTCGAGTCTTCAGTGTCTCTCTGCAGCCTCGGGGCCAGGACGGGGCACGCGGCGCGGCCGGTCCATCAGCACGGACGGGAGCGGGAGCGGGGCGGTGAGCGTGGTGGCGGCGGCTCACCTGCCCAGGCAAAGCTCACCGCAGTGGGAAGCCGTCTCGTTCTTTGTTGTCCCCTGACACGGTGGCCCAGAGGGGCAGCCCCAAGGAAGAAGAGTGACTTGGAGGACGAAAGTCACATGTATCGAGACGGACGGAGGAGGAAGCGTGGACGTTCCGGAGGACGAGGCTGGTGCGTGGATATTCTCGGTTAAACTTAAAATCGGCGCTGAATTTAGTTTTCTTGTGCTCCTTTTGTAGTTCCACGAGCCAGAGTGAAACGGTCAAGTTATGGTATCGCTTAATCTTGGTGACTGGGGATGCCCTTTGGCGTAACAGTACAAGACCTCAGAGGGCCTGGGGCAAATGTTTAAACCTTAATTATGTGCCCTCCATACATTCTTAATCCTGCAGTTCCACTGCGTTATTGGAATGCTATGCGACCGGGACCCACGGAGTTGCCAGCATCCCCCCTCGAGGGAACACCACTGATCAGATGACCGGTAAGGATGGTAGCATTCCTTCCCAGGTTTGTTTTTCCATAAGGAAGGAGAAAAGAAGAAAAGGAAACTATGGGATCGGGTGGCTGTGCTGAAAAGACTCCTCTCAATCCGGTTTAAGCAGGAACAGTTTTGACTTTTCTCTTGTTTAAGAATCAAATATTAACACAGTGTTGGATTATTTGCTGAAAATGAGGGATTGCTGCTAGAAAGGGAAGGCCCTTCTGATACCCACGGCAGTGCCGGCGCACACCTCGAGACTCTCTAAATGCCTCCTTTAGAAGTTGAAAACAGCCCTGGCTGGCATAGCTCAGTGGATTGAGTGCGGGCTGAGAACCAAAGCATCGCAGGTTCGATTGCCAGTCAGGGCACGTGCCTGGGTTGCAGGCCACAGCCCCCAGCAACCGCACATTGATTTCTCTCTCTCTCTCTCTCTCTCTCTCGCTCGCTCTTTCTCCCTCCCGTCCCTCTCTAGAAATAAATAAATAAAATCTTTAAAAAAAAAGTTCCAACAAAGCAAATTAAAAAAAAAAAGAAGTTGAAAACAACTGCCATGATTTTGTGACGATACTAATAACAACTGTAAGTGCTTCCTTTGGTCGGCTCACTTCAAGGCCGCAGTAACCCCGGGACGTGAGTGACAGATGGGAGGACGGGGGGAGCGCAGCCCGCGTGCTCGCAGGGCAGGTGCCTGCCGGGCCCCTCGGCAGCTGGCCCGGCCCGCGTGGACGGACGGAGGCTGGGGACTGACCATGGTTCTCTCCCGCCCTCCCCGGGGCCGGCTATTTATTTGGTTCTCACAGACTGAAAAGCACGTTTCCAGCTCCACAAATGTGAAATAGATTCTTTCCTGTTGGCTGACGCTCCAGCACGCTGGGACACGCCTCACAGGTTTAACCGGGAAGCCGCCGCGCGCTGGGAGACCGCCCCAAGGTTCCACCCCGACTCCCGGCAGGCACCCGCCGGCGACAGCGGGTCGGGCGGCCAGCGCGCCAGATGGGGGTCCACGCTCCCAGGGCCCCTTGCTTCCTCGTCTCCGAGAGGGAGAGATCCTGAGAGCAGACGCACTCTGACTGCACGAGCTCCCTGCTCCCTGAAGCAGAACTCGACTGCCTGACTGACCCAGAGCCAAAGGGGGGGGGCCTGAGGACAGGGCGGCGCTGCCCTGAGCGGCTGGGGCTCCCAAGCGCCTTTGGAGGGAACAGCAGTTAGCAGTGCACCCCCGGACGGGCACTCAGTTACCTTTGGACGGTGGACAGCTTCCAAATCTCTCCCTGGATTTAGACAACTCGGGGGCTGGGAAGCCCCAAGAGCACAGGTCACAGGGTCGCAGCTGAGGGAGCTGGGGACCACTCATGGCAGCCGGTCCACTGGCCGGCCGAGAGGCCACCGATCCCGGAGAGGACGGGTGGCAAGACAGGCGTGGAGGGGCCGGTGCTGAGCCGAGAGCCGAGGAAGCCAAGGTGAGACCCCGCATCTCGGAAGGAGGCACGTCTGTGGGGCCTGACCCTCCGACAGTTCATGCCAGCGTGGTGGCCCCGACAGACCCACTCCCACCCGTGGGAGCGAGCCCGTGTCTCATGTCTAGGCATCGAAGGCAGCAGAGACCGCAGGCTCCTTGTCACTGAGTCTCTGTCCCGTGACCGACACCCCGGTGATGACCCTTGTCTTTGATCCCGCGGTTGACACCTGCCCAAGGACAGCATGCCGTTCGGAACGGAGAGCATCTGACGACAGTGTGACAGAGAAGGTGGACAACACGGTCGTCTTAGCAGCCGGCACACGGAGACCCGCCTGCTCTCCGTCCTGATGATACGCCGTCGGCTGTGTTTGGCCTTCCTTCCAGGCAGCAGCGTGGTCCGTGCGGCGAAAACGCACCGAACCGCTCCAGGAATAACCGTGAGCATCTGTGCCCCGAGGACACGGTGCCAGGGAGGGCACCCCCACCCCCGCCCTGCACAAGGAAGTCCAACCGGGGCGAAATACGGGCCCACGGACCTTGGGGTCGCTCCGAGCAGAGTCCAGGTGTTTCAAACAAGGCGCCGCATCTCGGAAGTAAAGCTTCCCACTGGCCCACGTGCCGGTCCCCCCACTACAGCTGAGCGCCTCCGTCGTGCTGGGCTGGGCGCCACCTGCCCACGGGCTGCGGCCACTTCGAAAGCACTAAGGTTTTTCTTGTTTCAACTCCTTTGGGGAATTGACCCCGTTAAGCTGACGAAGTAGAACACAGCCAACACACGGCATCTCTCCCTCTAAATAATGGGACGGCACGACCACGCACAGCGGCCAGGACCTCGAGAGGCAGAAAATGACGGGATGACTACGCTTTGCTTTTTTTCACCGAAAGTACAATCGGGAAAAACTCCTTCTCCGCAGCGCCCCCCGCAGCCGATCATCAAAGGAGCCGCGACCATGGATGCCGCCGTGTGCCGCCGGGCTCCCCAAGAATCACCACCATGTGTGTGTGCCACCAAGACAAGGCGAGGCCCCTGAAAAGTCGGGGCCAGTCGGGGCAGGGAGGGCGGGTGGGACGTGCGTTCACAACAGAACATTCCAGGAGGCTGACAGCTGAGCCGGGCTTTAAACACACACACACACACACACACACACACACACACACACACACACACAGGGGAAAGCAGCCAGAAGTGGGGCGCCAGCCTGTTGGAGCAAGTGCAAGCCTCCAGTGCTAACAGGACATGCTGACCGCATGGCCTTCTCTGCCTGGAAGGTAATGCTTCTCTAACAACCAACCTCCCCCCCCACATACACACACATTACTGAGATAGTTGGCTATACATCAGACATAATTTTTAAAAATGCTGTACTCACCCCAGGAAGACGCCGGCTATAGTCTGAAAAAGAAAGAGAAACAAAGAGTTAGTTTCTTGGGTAATAGGTTCAGTTGCTAATTCTAGCCACTTCTTCCTCGGCACCCCCGGCTGGAGGCGCCACCTTCGCTTCCTTGTTCGGGTCTCCTTGAGGCCTTCTCATCTACGCGAGCGCAGCTGCTTTTTTCCTGAAATCGTCAGCTTCCCAAAGCGTCCTGCCCGGAACTCTCCTGTGCTGTCTGGTTGTCGGCTGATGGTGCGGGGTGGTGGCTGAGCCAGATCTGAAACGCTGGGTGTCTCACCCCAAGGCGCCCTGTGAGTCCACTGCTCCGTCCGGGGCCTACACTGTCCCCTCCCCCGACACTGTCCCCTCCCCCGACACAGCCCCCCCAGCCCGGCTTCTCTAGACTCAGCCTCTCACTCCCGCTTGGGACGCCCCGACCCCGGCCAGTCAGCACTGAGCTTGCTCATTCCCCATCCATTTGACCCGACTGTCCTTCTGAAGACAGTTTTGCCAAGATGGATGGAACTTACACACCAGGACGTCCCCCGCGTAAAGCGCACAACTCACTAGGCTTTTAGCACAGTCGTGAGTTTTGCAACCCCCATGATAGTCTCCTTCCTTCTAGAACATCTTCGTCACTCAAGAGAAGCCCCGTGCGCGTCAGCTCATTGACTCCCGGGTCCCGCCGCCACCCCCAGCCCCTCCTCGCCCCGCCCCCACCCCCCGGGTCCCTGGCAATTGCTAGTCTACTCGCTGTGCACGGATGTGCCCATTCCGGGGATTTCACATGAAGGGGCCCCTGGGATGCTTTGGCACCTGTAGCGTTTTTGAGGTTCACGCACGACGCAGCGTGGGCCAGCACTTCACCCTCGTACGGACAAGCACTGTCCCCCCATGCGGAGGGACCCCGCTCCGTCTCCCCGTTCCTCACCTGGCAGAGGTGCCCCTGGTTCCGGTGTGAGTGGCCGGGAAGGCAGCCTCATGGGAGGGCTCGCCGCCTGCATCTACCTGTGGCCGGGGACGCACTCGGCTGTCACTGCACATGGGTGCTGCAAGGGAATGGAATCAGCCGTCACCGTCTTAAAATAGCGGACGCAGCGCCCGGCGCCGCCCACCGGAGCAGACGACCTCTGACCTGAGGCGTGGCCGGGCTGGGCACTCGACAGCGGAGACGACAGGGACCCCGTACACTGCGCAATCACAACAGGCCGTGCTCACCAGACCGCTGCCCTGCGAGGCAGAGTCAGAGCAAAAGAAGCAAAAGCAACCCATCTGGTTCCTAAGGAATTTTTAAATCCTGCAAACCCACAGCTCCCAGCATTCTCGACGGTGTAAGACTGAGCGCCCCCTGCCCCCCGCACACCCCGCACTGGGGCCAGGGCAAGGGTGTCCCCTCTCGCCTCCCATTTAACACGCACTGGAGGTCCTAGTCGGTGGCACAAGGCAAGGACGAGGAAGAAAAGGCATGTAAATCAGAAAGAAAAAAAAGTACTTCCTTCTTCTCAAGGGACTGATTGTCCACACAGAAAATTCTGAAGAATCTACAGAGAAGTGCGGAGTAACACACGGAATCATGGGTTCCCAGAGCGCAACGGGGCCCACGGCGGCAGCCGACGGCGGGAAGGTGCCGGGTGCTGGGGGGTCACCGGGGGAGGCAGAGCTGCTTTCTGTAGGCAGAGCTGATCCCCAGAAAGAACCTGGGGACGCCCTGGCTGGCATAGCTCAGTGGATTGAGTGCAGGCTGCGAACCAAAGTGTCGTAGGTTCGATCCCCAGTCAGGGTACATGCCTGGGTTGCAGGCCATGGCCCCCAGCAACCGCACATTGATGTTTCTCTCTCTCTCTCTCTCTCTCTCTTTCTCCCTCCTTTCCAATTGATAAATAAATTAATTAATTAATTAAATTAAATATTAAAAAAAAGAACCTGGGACAGCAACTCGCAGCGTTTACCCGGGGCCAGGCGTGGGGACAGGCCTGGAGGGACGGCAGCCTGACTCCCTCGGGAGGACTGGCAGGGATGCGGAAGACGACCTGTTGTCCCAGACCGAGTGATGCTCTCGTAAGCTCAGACCCAACGACAGGCGGGGCGCGTCACGGGCAGGGGCAGGGCTGCAGCCCAGGAGGACCCCGGTCGCGTTAGAAGCGGGGGTTGGGGGGTCCCTGTCAACACTGGTTAAATGAACGGGCAAGCGTGATCGAGGATACCCCAGTCACACTCAAGTAATGGTTTTACATTAACCTTTAAACTAATGCTGTTTTATTTTTATTTTGTGTCTTTTTTTACTGAATGCATTGGGGTGATACAGGTCAATGAGATCACGCAGGTTTCAGGCGTCCAAGTCTATCACACGTTGCCTGTACACCACACTGCGTGTTCACCGGCCCCAGCCGCGTCCCCTGCCCCCATCAGGTACCCCCCAGACCCTCCTCTCCCTCCCCCACACCCCGTTCTGCTTCTTCACCGAGGCAGGGCCACGCACAAGGGCGGGCTCCACGAATAGATCCCACGCTGCGCTGGCTTGGGGCGCACACGGGTCAGCACGAAACCACAAGCAGCAGCTCCTCTAAGCGCAGAAGCCAAGAAAAAACCCAGCGACCAGAATATCCTGCGAAGCCAGCCCTCACCACGCGAACACTTCCTCCGGCCCCGGGCGCTGCTGCAGACGGAGCAGACAGAGCGCCGTGAACGGGGGGGTGGGGGGGGGTGCGCGGGCACACGGGGAGGTGGGGGCCAGGGGCTGGGTCCCGAGGGCACACCTGCTCCGCTGCGGGCGGGGGCGGGGCGCCCTCGAGGAGCCTGCAAAGTGTCCTGCCCCCACGGGCGAGGTCCCCGGTCTTATCGGGGGCAGCACTGCCCTCCGGGGCAGCAGAGGAGCCGCTGGATGGATGTCGGTCAAGGGCCTCAGTGGCCGTGACACGGTCTCTCCCGTGACCCGCAGCCCGCGGCCCGCAGCCTGCCCCAGGAGGCTCGCCGAGTCCCATTTAGAGGAAGAGAACACCGAGAACGGACCAGTGGCCCACCAAGCGAGGCAGTGGGCACTGAGGATCAGCAGACAGTGTCCCAGGGTGGCTGAGACCACTCTTGGGGGGCCGCACAGGGGGATCCAGCCCACACTGTAGGGACATGTGTCTGTCTGGTCCTCGTCTCCTTTCCCCAGGGAGACTACAATTCCTGCTCCATGAAGGACATTCTGCTCAGGGTGACGCCAACCCTGGAGAACTCCTCCCTCCGGCAGGGGCTCCACTGTGGTGTGCAGGGTAGAAAGATCTGGAAAGGCCCAGGCAGACCACGTACTTCCTGTGGGGAGCAGAGAGCCTGTGGGAGTGGCCGGGCTCCCAGAGGCCTGGACCCGCCGACCACAGGGGTCTGTCCCCAGCATCCAAGCACAGCCACTTGCTCCCGGAGCCCAGAGCGGGAGGGTGCCCAGCTGGACCCTGGGGAAGAGGTGGTGTGAGGACATGGGGCAGGGAAAGTCCGCCCTGGGGGGCAGGGAGGCAAGGCTGGAGGGCGGGCAGCGGGCAGTGGCTCTACAGGAAGTGGCTGCACTGCATCCTTCCGTCCAGACGGCTCGGGGGCTGTGCAAGGACCCGGCCTGGTTAGCGTGCACCCCAGCCTTGCAAAAACCGAAGCACGGCCACAGCATTTAGAGGCCATGCATCGGCACGTTCCACCTAGGGAGAACATGAACATTATTTCCGATGTGTCACGTGGTGAGGTGGGCAGGCCTGGGCAGCCTTTCCACATTCAGAAAGCCCCCCCCCCCGCCACCCCCGCCCCCGGACACGGCCTTGGCCTGCAGCACCGAGTCTACAGCCTCTCCTTTGTTTGCAACGGGCAGCAGCGGCTAGGAAATGCTGGGACGCACACTCACATTTTTAAAACTGTCTGCACGCACCGTTTTATAAAGCAAGCGCACACAAACCCAGGTCCAGGTCACCATGCACTTGGGCCGGGACCGTCAGTGCGAAGCTGTCCCGGCCGTGTTCTCCCGGGCTCCCGCCTCCCGGACAAGACACCGAGGTGTCCCGATCCACTGGTCAGGGCACTTGGAATGGCAGGGAGTGTGGCTCTCGGCCAGTCCTGGCGACACTCAAGGACAAGGACCCGGTGGACGATGCGTTCAGACGGATGATCCGAAGAGCAGGACAGTCGCTGCCCGAGAGCAGACGGCAATGGCCGGTCACGGGCACTCAGTGCGCCAGGACGGGGTGGCGGGGGGCGGGGGCTCAGAGAGGATGGCCCTCAGCTACAGTCAAGCTCCCTGCTTCCAGGCGGGGGGAGAGCGCACGCAGCCCGCTCCGGCTCCCCAGGGTGCAGGCGCTCACTGAGTCCACTCCGCCAGGCCCCACAGGTCCCTGGTGTACCGTTCACGCACCGGCAAGACCGTTAATTCCAGCACTTTCTACCACATGAAAAGGTCTGGGAGTTGCTGCCGAACCCCCACCCCTCCTTGCCGGGAGCTAGAAACCCCCCGAACGACAGGAGTGGGGTGCATCTCACTCCGCCCACCTGCAGCCAGCGTGCCACCTTGAAGCCGGGAGGGGTTCCCAAAGCAGCGTGGCCAGGGCTGGAAAGGACACCCCTCGGCTCCAGCAGCCCTCTTGCCGGTCTCTGCGACAAGCCGGACTTGTACACTGGGGGCGACGTCTACAACTCACGCACGGGCAGCTGCCCAGCAAAGACCATGGGCGTCCCCTCACAGACAGTCCCCCACGAGGGAGGGGGCAGATGCTCGTGGCACTGATCTGCCGACCACAGGCTATCGCCGCTCCGTGACGACGGGTGTCCCTGCTCAGCCGTGGTGTGCCCACGGAGGCCTCTCTCAGAGGCAGGGCACCCGGGAGCCGCCGGCCCGTCGGAGGGGACCTTGCTTCCAGCACGCCACACCCTCCCGGAGGTGTGCCACTTCCCACGGGTCCTCTGTGAGCCCGCCCGCCCTCCCTCAGCCCTGTTTTCAGGGACACACCTGGGGCCAAGCCTGCCTCACTTTGCCATACTCTCCCTCCAAATGGGGTCCCACCCGGGACCCCCCAAACCTGTTCTCCTGCCTCCTGAGTGCTGGCTGTTGTCTTGTCCCCCTGCCGCACCCCCTTTGACTGCAGTAAACCGAGTCAAGGTGATGCCCAAGACAGCGGTGGACGATCCCCTTCCCGCCCTGGGGGACCCCGGGGTCCCGGCCTGGAGGGTGGGTGGGCGCTGTGCCCAGGGAGACCCACGCTCCTCACGGTGCATTGGGACCGTCTCTGGACAGACATCACCCATCCACATCTTTTTCTAGTTTGCAGAACAACGGAACCTGTGGGTATAACATGATCACTTTACTTTCTGTCCACTACTGCTTGTGGGCTTGCTGGTCAACACGGCCTGGAATGAAAGGACTGAAACACAAACTACTCTTTAGTAGAAAAATTGGGGACCAGCAAAGCACCCTTGGACCCCTAGCCTGCTTCTGTGGGCTCGCCTGCTCAGAGATGGTGTTTTATGACACACACACGGGCCCAGGTCCTTTTCTGGTGAAGCCAGAGGGACATAGCCATGCGCTTAGGACAGCGCCTGGCCCAGGGCAGGCGGCCAGATCCCTGCCCGTGCTGGACGGGTGACGCCACGTCGCAGTGCTGTGACAGTGACCAAACCCGCCGCTGCACAGGCATGTCCGAGGACCACGCCCCCCTTCCAGAAGAGCCTCTGAAGTTCAGCTGCCCCCGAGGCCGGTGCTGACGGCCAGGTGTAACACGGCACCCGTGCGAAGGGGCCCTGGTGACCGCACCTGAACCCACCTGAATGTCTCCACCGACTGCGCGAGGCAGGAGAGAAGGTGGGGTATAAAGGACCCGCTCAGGGGGCAGTGACCTCACCATGGACTGCCGCATCTGCAGGCCCTGTGCCTCCGTGCCGACCTGGGCCTGCGCCTTGATCACACTTGATCTGAAACTGCTCTTCTCACCCCAGGGGGGTGAGTGGGGCCGAGAGGGGAGCATTTCTGGAAAGCAAGGCCTGCTTTACTCCCCACCCTGGGGGGTCGCGCTGCGTAAGGTCCTCCAGATGGGCTGGTTGCTGCAAGATGCTCATGGTTACTGGACTCAGAACCTTTCCAAAAGATGCCTTCCTGTCTGACGAATGGTCACTGAGCCCCGAGAAAACGACTTACCTCCGACGGAAAACCGCCGTCTGTGGGAGATGTTTTCTAGAGCGCTGCTGTGAAATGCCCCCACGGTTCACTGGAGGCCCCAGGCCTGCGAGCAGGCTGCTACCCGTGCAGGTGCAGCGCTGGCTGGGGACCGTCCTCACACGCAGCTGTCAACGGCAGCAGCCCCAGAGGCCCAGGGTGAAGTGACAGTCCCCACGGCC